CGATGTTTTAAGGTTAATCATCGTGCAACGAAAATAACCATCACACTCACACACACACACACTCTTCTTCTTTTACTCATTCACTATACAACCAGACCTAGCCGTGTATTTGTTTTTGATACATATATATATAATAAAATAAAATCTCCTTTATAAGCATAATTTATCTTTAGCGAATTTCCCTATAGTAAAGTAGCAATTACCGTAGGTGGCACGGGAAGACCTGGAACCAGTACCGATATACTTTTTCATTTTGATGTCCATAGGAGCCAAAACCATCGTAATTATTTACGCATCGTATTTTCCCTACCCAAACGTCAGTCCTACAAAGAAATAAAAAAAAAATCAGAATTCTAACATTTCCATCCATATACATTTTGAAACATTATACTTCACTAGAAAAAAATAAAATATTTTCTTTTTGTTCACAGCCCAACAACAGATATCCATTTCGTAATTCTTCCAAACTTGCAATTCCTAATCGCTCAACGGCATTCTTCCAAAAAGAATTTTCAATACAATACCGTCAAGCTTATTAATAACCTTCCTCGTTCCCTTAAGACCGAACAGCATTTAAATAAATATCAGAAAAGGCTAAAGAATATTTTGCTGGATAGGCTAATGTCTTTTGCAGCGTTTGTGAGTTTTTTTTCTTCCTAGAACTGGTAGTGTAAAAACTGAAGCATAGTTGAAAGTTATAATTTAGATAAGAGATTGTTTTTTAGTTTATGTAAATATTTATGTTTTTGAGGTAGCTAATGCATTTTTTGTTAATTTTGCTAAAAAAACTACTTATGACTTATGAACTCAATACGTTCTCTGTAGCAGCAAACCTAAGTACTCATTAAAAATAATGGTATTTAATCTATACTATTATAAAATTAAGGGGTGTATGAATGTGCGTCTGTCAAGACTAAAATACTAAACTGATAGAAACTAAATTTAGAGTAAGATGGTACACATACCTAGAAATGTTTTAGGCCTATTCACCTCCCTGAGTTTCTCTCTGGGTTTACCCTTTGGGCATTTAAAGTTTTGAGGTGAGGTTTTAAAAAGTAAATATTGATTGGTCTCCATGGAAGCATGATAAAACTCACAATGTTTACCTATGCATTGACATTTCAATGTAAACAAACATAAATGAAAATGTTTATTTCACAATTTTATGATCTAAACAAATTAAATATAATATTTTACTTAATCATGTCGTAGGTTTGTTTATTCTAAAACTTTGTCATCGATAAAATTTGTTACTGCTGTGGATTTATAAAGGGGTTCTGCACATCTACAGGAAAATATCTTTTTACCACAAAACGATGTTTTAGACGTTTTACAAAAGTTTATTAGTGGCCGAAAGCTATGTATTGCTGTATATGCCAGCTTTCATCGTCACTTAGGGACCGAGGAAGTTTTTACATCCATATGGCCGAAAATCAGCTGTTAGATTACTAAAACATTCATGCATATTAAATACACAATCAGTATCCATAGCATTGCAATATGATAATTGTTTTATTGTCACCGCTGCCTAGCAACTATTTATATTACTTTTTCCGATTCCTCAATATACCGTTACCATTACCAACTCCTATGTCGTTGCCCAACACTTGTTGGATAGATTGCGTCAAATAAAATTTTAAAGAAATCAAACTAATAAAAAAATGATATTCTTGTTCAACCAATATTTACAAATAGAAAAACTAGTGATGGCGGTGCATATTATATGTTCGAGAAGTACTCGCCAGACACTTCCTCAAAAGCTCATTTGTGAGCTTGTTAAAAAGCTGCATGGAGAAAGTTTGCATGTCTTCAGTGTGGGCCCGAGGCGGTAACATGTTGTAGAATCGCATGGCTGGAACGGGTTGGGCTGCCAAGGATCTTGACAACCTGCATGTTATAAGAAAAAATATTTATAATTTCTTGAAGTTTCGTTCCTATTCATCCCGCTGTTCGTATTCACCCCATTTTTATTGAAATGTTAGACTCAGATGACAATCTAATAGACCTACATTTACCTTTATCAGACTTGAGTATATGTGGCCCATTTACACACACTGGTCTCCTTGAGGTTCTTTTGGATAAAAAATGATTCTGAGAATGGTTAATACTGTTTCTCATTTGGTCTCTATGAAGCCTATTTTTAACAGGTGGTTGATATATGCTCAACAGGATACCTTCAGGCCATAAATCACAGTCCATTACCTTGTCACAATACTCACTATGAACACCTAGTTTAAATGAGCTGTAGGAAGGATATCTTGCCTCCAGATGCTCACAATGCAACTATTTAAGGAAAGCATTCCCCTCACAAACATTTCTTAAAGTTGTAGTTGTGTTGACTATCAGTGTGGATTATTATTGTGGTGAATAGTGGTAATAGGGTAAGTGTGGTGAAAAATAGAGTTCGTACCACGGACCGAAATGGTTTTGCAGCCTTTGACCGTTTTAAAAACTATCTCAAGCTGGCAAAACCTAAATTTTGGCCCTAGTTACAAAATGTACTATTCTAACAGCATGCGTACCAGTATATTTTCCCTGCGATACACACGAGCTGAGAAAAAAGGGTTTTAAGAAGCACGCTTGTCTATTAACATATAGGATTATGTTTGCTGTCGTTTGTTGATTGAGTAAATTGATAAGCATTCAAAACTAAAAAGGGGTTTCTTGTTTTCACCTTAATCTAAAAATGGAGCTCATTACATGCCTAGTTAATTACCTAGTTCTAGCAACGAAATTCAACTCCTAATCCAACCATCTCACCTACTAAGTATAGCGACTCAAAAATGGAGGCCATAGATAACACATACTTCTTTGCAGGTGTTCTGAGTCATGTAGGCTATTGAAACTCAGGTATTTCTTGAATCTGTTAGCAGTTATTTGTGTTGTAGTCCCCGTGTAGCTGAATGTGACATATCTGGTGTTTCCTTTTTCATCTCTTCTAATATTGTTCTGCTGTTTAGTTGTTGTATACAAGAGGTTAAGTTACCTTGATTCTGTCCAAGTAATCCTTAAGTCGTCATTAGTGCGACCGGTTTCGATGTCTATGGCATCATTGTCAAGCTGAACGTAAAAATCGCTCCTAGGAGGTCGTCATGAGTCTTGAAACACACGTAACACGTAACACATAACACGTACACAAACAAAAAACGATAAAACACTGAAATTAGTTGTGTGGCCATGCATTTTATCGTTTTTTGTTTGTGTACGTGTTATGTGTTACGTGTTACGTGTGTTTCAAGACTCATGACGACCTCCTAGGAGCGATTTTTACGTTCAGCTTGACAATGATGCCATAGACATCGAAACCGGTCGCACTAATGACGACTTAAGGATTACTTGGACAGAATCAAGGTAACTTAACCTCTTGTATACAATTCATGAAGTAATCCGGAAGGCAATACACAAAATGATGTTTAGTTGTCTTTGTTAGCCTACAGGACTCAGAGCACCATGAGTAAAATACTGCTCTCTAAAATAGAAGATTATTGTACCAAATTCGACGCTTCGGGCATCTATTAAATCGATTGTAACGATTGTGATAGCTTTAACATTTGACAGACTGTGAACTTCGTTAACCGCTTCATAATCCACAAATCTGCTTAGAAGAACAACAAACCGGAAAGATCAAATGTCGCACAACACCTGATACAAAATGGCAACTCAATATGAAAAATGGAGGATAGTCTATGAATTTTAAAGAATTTTAATAAAGGATTCATAATGAATGCTTGGGAAGAATTGTATATTTAAAAGGAAAACATTAAAAATGGAAATAAGCTGATTAATGAACAAGTAAATTCCGACTCCAGTTGTACTTATAAAAATGTATTAGCCGGTGCTTCCAGTAGCCAATAGCATATAAAGTGGCTAAAGGTGAGTTGCGGCCGGGACACTAATCTATCAAAGAGAGACAGGTGAGTTGCGGCCAAAGTATAAACAGGTATAACAAATACAGGAACGTATATGTCTATCAGTTCCTCCACTGATGTGCTTGGTCAATGTTCTAAATCTATTCTTATGGAGTTTATTATTAGTGAGTAGTCAAAACCGTTCGCTGTTTATGAGGGATTTAAGTTCCAAGGTATATAAAACGTTTGTACCATTGACATTTTTCTTGCTGCCTGACAAAACGTAGAAAACATACTTTTTGGCTCTGAAATGTGTAGCTAGTGAATGTGCTTCTCCTTATTTTCTGAAAACAGTTAGTTTTAAATTTTTGCCAGCACAATACACTTATGGACAATGACAAACCTATAACAACGTGGAGTGCAAACCGAACTAACACAATAAACAGATTTCTTAAATCATGTACGATTATTTTATGTACCATTAAACCAATCATATCCTTGGCCGCAATCAACCTGTTTATACTCGGGCCGCAACTCGTACAAAACTTTTTTGAGTCTGGGCCGCAACTCATACGCAAAATGAGATTTGGGCCGCAACTCACCAACAGCGTATAAAGTAGGAACTCAATTCAAGATTCTTATCATTCGCCTATTGGCTCTGATAATGATTAGAGTGTCCAATCGAAATCGATCACCACTTATATATTTTTTTGTATATTTATCATCTTGTGAGTAACAGTGTAAGCGTAAATATATGTTTTAAGTGTTATAAGACGTTTCTTTTATTTACTTACTGAATTAAGAGAAACTAAAAATCTTGTGCTATATAAAAAAAAGTATGAAACGGCGACTACAGAATTAAAATTAATTTTGTGGTCGCTGGTATGAAACATTTAGTCGACATTAGGCACAAACAAAGGGTAACTGGATATGAAGCACACATCAAACATGTTTCACGTGTTACAATAAAAATTAAAGTCCAATTGCCGTGTTTGAATTTAGCGTTTTCATCGAATTCGAATGTTTGATTTATTATTAATTATAAACGTTCAGAAGGTTTGGTTGATGAACTAATCTTAAATTTCGTTATTATTTACTAACCATTTAGTCAAAACTTACATTCTGCATGTTCATTAGTAAGTATCAAACAAGAAAATCAGAAGAATATATTATGATCCGATAAAAAATTACAGTTGATGTCGTGTATCCTCACATTCCCTTACTATCCCCAAATCCAAAATTTTTTTGATGGGATAAAATTTTTTTTTATAGGTTCGCTTGTTGTCTTTACTGTACAAATTTCATCAACTGGCACATCGTCCCGTTCTGAATAAGATCTTGTACCTTCTTGATTTCTTCTGACCTTAGGAAAGCCACGTGTATCTTCTTGCATCACTATCCGGTCAACAAAGTCTTTCAGTAATATTCCATCGTGTCTCTTTATTTGCTTGGTATACGTCATGAGCATCACAAAGATATTCCCTTCATAGCTATCTTTCCTGATGGAGAGCTCTGTGTCAGTGGCGTATTTACCGTGATCGAGACTGTCCTGGTATCCCTGGAACGTGCAGTATGTAGCCACCGGGATGGCTCTGGTCCATTTCTAAAATATGAAATAAATTAGAACATTGACATTAACTACATATAATTTTTTGCCACCACTCATTATATTTACCGTTTGTTGTGTACAATTAATTCAATTAATTTCCTTCTTGTCTATTTAGGGAATTTCCTCCATATAGGAAATGAGCTATTACCGTAGGTCTCGTGGTAAGACCTAGACCCGGGACCGATTTCCTTTTTCGTTTTGAGGTCCCCAGAGGACAAAAACACCATCCAAAGTTTTGGCCGTTTTGAGATGTATGCACTTTCAGGTTAGCCTAGCCTTGACCTGGATGTTGATCCATATTAAGTTTAATTAACAATAATCAATGCCTAATCTAGATTATAAGTTGTTAGTTTTGTTGCGTTTAAAAACTATATCCAAGGGCCTAGGCCTTATTTTTTTATTAAGTACTAGGTTAAACACCATTAGGTAACTAGGTTATGTTGGTTTACTTATAACTGGATGATTTTCATGAATCACTAATACCTAAGTAAGTATATGTGTTCAGTACACAATGTTAAACACTCTCAAAGTATTACTTAACTTAACCCAAATATAGGTAGCTTTAGACTTTCGAGAGGATGAGTGTAAGTTATGTATCCCTTAAGATGGTTATAAGCTTAGGACTAGGCTAGATATTAAAGTAGGATATAGATATAGATATAGGATATAGATACCCTAACTCGCAACTAACTTATAGTCTAGTCTATCATATATTATCAGGGTCAATAAAATAGTGCGATTTGATCAATGGCAGCCAAACCTAGTTTTAAAAAGTTTGAAATAAGTTATCTAGGTTTCGTTACTGGTACCTACCAATAATGTTGTTATAAAATGTGATAACATGTTTATGAGTTAAGTTTGGCAATTTGATCAAATATATGTTGAAGCAAAAAGTCTTAAAATGTTGGCATACATGCGTTGCAGCGTGTCGCCTGTTGTCAAATTCCATAAAACGACAAATGTCAAAGGTTTAATTTTAAGTTAAGGATCAACCCGGCAAACGTTTACCCGTTAGTTGAGCTAGACCTAGCCTATGTGGCTGAGCTACCTAACTATTCCAAGCCTATGTCATGGCCTTCTTCTCTAAGAAGAGGCTAAGCTCAGGCTCTACGCCTATGTTTTAGCTATGTACAATTGTTATGATACAGATAGGTTATACGTTTTCAAACTGAGCTAAGTTTGGCTAATTGTTATGATACTAGTGTTACTGAATTTAGATTTGCAAAACTCTGAAAGAAAATTATACCTAAGGGTTCAATAGTAACACCCTCTGAGTAAACAGATGCACAGAGCTCTTTGGATTACGAAAAGTCAAATGGAAAGCTTTGAAAAGGAAATATCAACACTCCATGCACGCTTTCAAATAGAGGGATCATCAATATTTGACAAAGTAACTCCCTTCCTGGATGAAAATGGAGTTCTTTGATTTAGAGGACCATTGGAAAGTGCAGGATGTCTAACATTTGAGATAAAACATCCAATCATATTGGACCCAGAACGCCATTTTACAAAACAGTTGATTGACAGATACCATAAGATGAATTTTCACCAAGGTCAAGAGACTGTTGTTTATTAAGTTCGACAACGTTACTGGATTTTTCGTCCAAGAAAAGCAATTAGGAGTAGCTGGAATTGGTGTAGGCTCTGTGCCTTACGAAGAGCTAACCCCTTACAGCCCAGAATGGGAGATTTACTAGGAGCAAAACTCACAGCACATGTAACTCCCTTCTTTAACATGGAAAATTATTTTAGTCCAATAACAGTCACTGTTGGTATAAGACACGAGAATAAATATGGAGTTTTATTCAAATGTCTTACTACTAGAATTGGTATTTAAGCTCCAAAAGGTGAAAGACTTGGTTTTTGTCTGGAGGAGCATTTTCTGTTTATGACGGGCTTACAGAAACTGTCAGGAGTAACTATGCAGCTCTCACCAGTACATTGCTGCAGGCCTTTTCTGCGAACTGTTTTCATGCTTATGCAGAATTTACAGCTAGGCGTCTAATCCCCAGGGAGTCACTAGATGTATATACTTCTAATTTGAAGAGACTGGCCAAATTGGTGGATCCTTTTGTATCTGATGAATGGATTAAGAGCGCAGTCCAGAATATACAATACATATATTATGACATATATTATATATACATATATTATGGTATATTATGGCTTGCCAGAATATACTTAAACCCAGTTGAAAGATGCGTGTTCTCTTCAAAGCATGAAATTGTCGGATGTAATGGCAAGAGCTAGGAATCTATTGGGCAGTGAGTCAAACTTTGGGGTGGTTGCACACGCTTATGCCATAGTTTTCAAAGTTGGTAAACAGTTGCCTAAAAAATCCTTTGATTGTGACAGGGAAGGCCACGTAGCACGTTCATTATGCCACACGTGACAATAAAGAATTTTATCGTTGACAATCAAATAATATACTAAGATGGAAAAGATTGCAACAAGCAAGATCAGATTTATAATTATCGATTCCTAAAAAAATAATTTCTCTAACAAACTCACCTGAACTTTTATTTGCAGGTGAACAAAGTGTTTATCTTCTTTCTTTATTTTTACAATTTGGAGTTCAGCTGCTGGGCTAAATTTTTCCATTTTACATTTGTAAGTTTCTCTATTTGGGACCCCCTCCAGTGGTTCATACCCCATGAAGACTAGAAAATAAACATACCATTTTATTATTGCAGTTAAAATTTATGAAATATGTTTCGCTCTTTAGTGCAAAATTGTGGATTGATTGTTGATTATTCTAACTATGTAGAAGTCACTTTCAGTGCTTAAAGTTTATAAAATATTTTCCAATCATTCAGGTATTAATTTATCGCCTGACGTTTAGATTAATATTTCTTTGTTGAACGACTTAATAGCTCTTTTGGAATTCTCTGTTACAGATTCATATGAACAGAACAGATTCACATGAACATTTCATGAACAGACTGAAATTCTCAGCCTCAAAACAAACTATTTGTTTTAAGTGACGCGCTGGCCAATTGAATTGAAGGAAAATTATATTGCCTTATAAGTTTCTTGTTAAAATTTTAAAAGGGATACTATTTTTATAAACCATTGACATAAATAATATTAAGGCTTCATTTAAGTGGTTTGAGCGTCAAAATTACAAATATATACTTCTGTAGACGTATACTCCAAAAATGCATCAAAAGGTTTATTAAAAAAATATAAAATTAGATTAATCACTCACGCGCAGCCTCTTCAGAAATCCAATGCAGACATAAGGCACTGTTCACTGCAATAGAGCAAAAATAAATATTACATAAATCATTGAACAGGTAGAATCACAACTATCCTGTTTTTACTTGTTTTATATAGACCTTTGACTATTGATAGTACTAGATATTCCATTTCCATGCTAAAGCTGTCACCAGTTTTTAAGTGAAAATAAACGTAATAGAGTTGAGCAACCAACAGAGTATGCTTATGCAATTAGTCATTTCTGCAAAGTATTTGGATATTTTTACCAATTAAAAATTATAAGACTTAAGCTGTGGCATCTTTTATGTCGCATCAACGATCTCAGTAACAACGAAATAAGGCATAATTTAGAATTTTGGACATTAGTACAGTCCGCGACTGGATCCCAGAAACATGTTTTTGTGTGTTTTTTTTTTACAAAAAAGGATTAAACGCTTTCTAAAGTTAAGCGCCAAGCAATATCTAATCCTCCACTAAAGAAGTGCTTAAACACTTGGTTTCAGCAGACTAAACTATATGAATATAGCATATAGTATACAGTAAAATAGCGATACAGTAATATTAGTCCATGTGGCCCTGCTCTGAAAAATATTTTTCAGAAATATATTGACCAGACTCGGTTTAGTGTTTCAAGGTTGTCATAGCTTAAATCCATTCGAGAATGCTAGGAAGAATCACAGGGCAATTTAGGTATGCTGGTGGAGTGGGATTTCTACTCGTGGGGGAGTTTAGACATACAGTAATAACGTATTATTATGTTACATAATAATACATAACGTAATAGATTGTGAGTCACAAATTCAGTGCGACCAATGTACTTAAATGCTAAATTTAGTAACGTAGCATCAGCTCTGCTATTTTTGCTTTAAAAGTACTAATACAATTGAATACTTACAGTCTGATCCTGATGGAACGTACGAGTCGCTATCACTGGTTACTTGATCAGTAGTTCGACATGCAACTACATTGGGGGAATAGATTAACACTAGTGAACCCGTGCGGCTCAACGCGCCGCAAAAATACATACATGAATTTAGAAAACAAATTCATACTGTCATATATTGACTCTGAGTCGAAAATAAAATACAGTAATGAATGAAGCCTTAGAAGGAAAGCAGTCCATCAATTTTCTAGCTCCATATGTCTTATATTTAGTAAATTAATAAGCTATCAAGTATTTCATAGTTATTTTAAGATTGTATAACACATTTAATAAAACATTTTAATAAAACCAATATGTAGCATATTTGAAGAACATAAAAATGCTTCTTGAAGAAACCCCTTTTAAAAATAAACACAAAAAAACCTATTTTATTGACAACAGTACTTCCTTGAATTAACTTACTAAGTTTTTATATGTGAAATCACCTTCAGGAAGATTACCCTGGTCAGAATTTTCCGTGATGAATATGTGTACACCATCAAATATGTAGCCCTACTTAAAGCAACACATAGTTGCCCATGACTGAAAACTGGTCTGGGCAAGAACAGTACTACTCTTTTAAGTGATTGCCCTTGTGCTTTATTGATTGTCATTGCAAATGACAAAGCCTATGGAAATTGGCATCTTCCCATTTTAAATGTTAAGTTTGTTTCCGACGGGCACATATGTCCCCCCGCACTTGTTCTAGTTAGGACTTTCAAACACACACATTCTATTAAATTGTTACCGGTAACCATTTTGGTCACTTGGAGCCTTGTTCCATTAATGAGGCTCTTTGGTGTATTGATATTCCTCATCAATAAAACCACACTGCCCCCTTGTTTAAAATCAATCTGTGCCTTGGCAATCCACTGACCTCTATATTGTTTAAAAACTCTGTTGGACATTCTAGATGTGTGTTTAAATTATCTGCAAGCAAACTATCAATGCTTTCGTACACCTTGGGCTCACCTGGCAATTTATCCAAAACTTTGTTGTTGATCAAACCACAGACACTGTTTTTGGAGCTAAAATAGCTTTGTCTTTTATTTGACCATTTTGTATACTTTCAACGACGTTTGGGTGGATGAAATCAACTGTACAAATCAAGGGCATCCAACTCCAAGCAATCTTGCTGGCAAAATAAGGAATCAATTAGCTTTAGCCTATTTTGACTCTTTTATTTTCTACTTATGCATGTATTGCGTCATGAAGGTTCATATAGCTCTGCTCGAAGTTTTGGCTGTTCCCTAAACCGAGACGTTCACCTTCAATTCTCATAAAAATTTCAACTATATATTGAAGTGTAACCTTACCACAACAGCAGAAAACTGAAGTCTAACAGATAGCCTGTGGGCCGCGAACTGCAAATGTGTAACAGTGTTCCAGTGTGTAGTTGCCCGATCAATCAGTGTGTAAGGCTATTGGATCAAGACCTGAAGAGTGTACAGCCAAATCTTCTAAGGTTCCACTTTTAGGATACACAAAAATTAATAGAAAAACATATTTTTGTATAGAAACTTGAAGTAGAGGATTTGTTTTGTTTTGATTTATAAATAAATTGTCTGGTAGATCAGCTGTTTCATGTCAAATTAATGATTGTCAAAGATTTGTGATTTTGAATGTTACAGTACAGTTTTGTAAATCGTGGTAACTTATTCTCAACTAAATTTTACTATTCTTCACATTAAAATAAAGTAGTATGATCCATTATGAGTACACTTTAAGGTATCCAAAACATGATTAAACTTAATATACATTTAGGCCCGGTTTCCCCAAAATGGTGTAAACTAGGTTTATGATAAACTAGTTTATTTTTAAACTCCGTTTAAAATGTGTGTTCGGTTTCTCCAACATTTTACTGGCTTCGTTAAAGATAAACGGCAATTCGAGCGGTTGGCAATCCTGAATGTGTATTTGTAAGGAATCTTCGGTGGGCTTTGGGCTAGTGTTTCCTACAACCACCACAACGCTACGCTACAAGCTACAACTCAGTAGAGCAGACATCAAAGAGCGATCACTGTTTAAGGTTATGTTATCAAGTTATTATAAGTTGTTATCAAATTCAGATTCATTCCATTTATTGAAATGACCAATTCTGTCCCTTATTTTAGTAGGCCCTCTTGTTCTAGGTACTAAAGTGTCATACTCTTCATCTTCTACTTCTTCGAAAATGTCTATTAACTCTTCCATTTAAGTTAAGGGGCAAACACCGCAATTAATAGTACAGTAGCCTAATTTGAAATAAAATCAAATGTACCAAACAAAGATCTTAATAAACACAATAAATTAAAATATAAATAAAACTTAACTTATAAGCTAGCCCTAAACCAAGCCTATGTTCGTCGAAATGAATTTGTAGTTGCTTCAATTATTATTGTTTTAACACCTACTTTTGTTTTGATTTGAGGTTATGTTACTGTTGTAATTTACTGATTTGAACTCAGTTTATTTTATCCCCAGTAGTTAAACCAAGTCGACAGGTGGTTTAGTTTGAACTTAGATTAATACCTAGTTTAAATTTGGGGAAACACAAATCAAAGTTAAACTAAGTTTAAATCGCCGTTTAACTTAAAACTAAGTTTAAATGAGTTGGGGAAACCGGGCCTTACAGGTATAATACACACCGATTTCTTATGTAGTAGACTTTGACTATTTTCAACCAAAAACATATGTTTTCATAAATAAAAATTATCTCCCATGTTATCCTTATGGAGAAAAAACTGACTTTAAGGGCCTCTGACGCCCTTACCAACGACTTTATAAAAAATCTAATATCGTTGGGCACAACTACACGTTTTACCCTTTATTTTGAGACCTCAAACGTCAAAATCGGGCGAATAATAACAGAGGAGTTTGATTAACAAAAAACGGCTTAGCCTATTATATATATAGATACATTTCAACATAAATATTTTACTTAAGATTTTTTACTACTACGTTACAGAACATTGTTTAAAAAACAATAACTAGGCTTACTTTTAAAATGTCTTTGTTTTATTGACACGAGTTGACTCTATGGGCGCTTCTCAGTTGACGATTATTTTCAAAGTCAAAGGTATATAATAGTGCCAAAATGTAAAAATGTTAACCAGGAAATTGTTTCTTTTCAAAATAGCCATGGCCAAAATCCATTTTACATTAATACAGCACATCAATTTATATAAAATTATATATAGCCCATGCATGTTTGTCCTTTATAGTATAGATCATTTTTATCCTTCTGCTTTAAACTTTGAGAAATAGTTCTTTGTATATCTAGGAAGGTTTCTGTCTTATTCCTGGTCTTCAAATAGTTCGCGCTACTGTCTCATGGTCTTCTAAATTTCCAATAATCAAATAACAAAATATAACATTTATAAAAATAAAATGAATACTGTATGTTGATAAATAATGAAATATTATAGACTTGTAGAATACAATTGTGTTAAACACAGATTAAAATATACAGTATCAGAAAGGATCGGGTCTTTGGAATGTTTCATGCTACTTAGATGATTTGCTATTTTTAATTTTTCTAAACTACAAGTCTTAATTTAAATATTGTACAATTTTTAGATATTAAGGTTGTTACGTTTTTTATTATAGGTAATCAAGATAGTACAACTGTATGTCTGGGACCAATTTACTATTTAGTTTTTATTTTTGCAGACGTCGAACACAATATCTGACATGTTTTAGGAAATGTTTGTTTGTGAAAATTCAACGAGCCAAAAAAATATATTCGCTTAGTATACAGGTTTGATGCAGCTGGGGTATTGTAGCTTTGTGTTGTTGCTTTGGTGCTTGTTGTTTTCTGACATGATTTTGAGTTTTACATTTTTGTGAAATGTGATGTTTTAAAGCAGTTGATCAGTTTTTAACTCTATATTTTCATCCTGTTCTATTAAGGATTACATGTAGTTAACCCATTTATTTATATAACGGGAAACGGCCATTTAGTTACAAACAAATTGAAAAACTATTTGATAAATATGGATAAAATTACAGTCGCTAAAGACAAACTCCTTATCGACATTAAAACACAAACACGTAAAACTAATAAAAAGCAAAAATCATAATCCTACAGCGCAGATGTTTTGGGTTGAATATATTACCTTACTTCTAAACTAGTTACAGTATATTTCTTCTACTAAGAAAATGTTATTATTTACCTGGACGAACAGCTTCATTGTAGATGAAAACCTAAATATGAACAATATTGTTTTTATTTCACTTAACAGGTTGTAGTTAAATTGTAAAATGTTTTACAATACCATACATATTTGCCCTGAAAATACTGTGTTGGCATAAATTAGACCCCTCTGTCTCATTTATCTTCAATTTTAGTAGAAAATTCTAAACAATCTATTTGTACATAGCAAATGGCAACAATAAAACAGCTCTGGCTACTTTATTGCTAGGAACATGGTGAGCAGAGACATATTCACTAATTGGAGTTGCAGCTGTTATATAATTAGACGAATGATGATCTTGATATTGGTACAGTATTGATCGGTAACATATCTATATAGATCCCATAAGTTAGATCAATAATACAAATTCTTTCTAATAATAAGGATTTTATAAAGAAACCTAGCAGAGTACCCGTCCTTCATACGGGGTTGGAATATAAGTATAAAATGCTTATTGCAGTGATACTCAAGCTTTGCGTTTGCAATAAGAGAGGAGACAGTTTGATAAAATTTGATTTTTTAAATTTACAGTATTCTATAGTATTACACATCTACCATAGCCATAATGTTCTACCACTTCACCTAAACAATAGAGAAAAATAAATTATCGAAAGTTTGCAAAATATCACAAATTATTCACGAAATGTAAACACAAACATAAACATAACTGTAAACAATCCTACTTTGACAGTTCTCATTGCGAATCACAGTTTTTTTGTTGCTGCTTAGTTCAAATTAGCTGATTTCATAAATTCAAAAAAATATAGTGCTGCACCCTGTTAGTAAATATTATAACTTTTTAATGCTATTCCATATCATAGAACCAACTTTTTTAGTTGAAACAGCTGACTAAATTCTTTAATTCCCTTTAAATATGAATACTCATAAGGTTAACATGGGGAATTACAGAGCCACTGGGGCGGAGCCTGAAAGGGTTTTGAGATAAGAATATGCCTATATGTTAATCGGGAATGTGAGCTATCATCATGCCAAATTTCAGCCCAATCCGTCCAGTGGTTTATGCGTGATTGAACTTCAAACACACAAACAAACAAACACACAAACTTTCACATTTATAATATTAGTGAGATAAGATAAAAGATTACAACATAAAAGCTAGAGTGTTTTTGTATAAGTTTTCTTTACTTCCCTTGATTTTGTTTTCCTGTATAAATTAAAAACCTAAACATGTTTTTTAATTTCAAAGTCTAAGCATTTAAAGTAAAATCAAAGATTTGTATTTATTACTTGCAAAACTGTTTTGTTTTTGTTGTGTTGTAATTTTGAAACACACTGATTAGGTTGTGGATCAGAGGGTCCCAGAATAACCTAGGCAAGGGTCGGTCGTAAAATATTTGAGCGAGTGCGGTCAGAAACAGTAACTTGCTCCAAGTTTGTAAAGTACAATTAATTGTGATAGGTTAAACAGTCGGAGGTCCATTTTAACCTTGGTAATAAAGGCAAGATTTTGCCATTATCCTCCTATCCAACGACTTTACCTTTCACCTAATATTGCATGGAAGATGATCTAAACCTGGGTACGTTAAGAGAGTACGTTTTGAAAATATACTCATAATTAAGTATAATAATAATAAATATTAATTATATAATATTATATAAATTATAATTATATATTATATAAATATTATTATATAATAAACTAGCTGTACCCGCGGGCTTTGCCCCGCTTAACTTCATAAGTATTCGCATGGCTCAATCACGTCCTGGTTGAAGTTCGTTCGCTACGCTCACTTACCTTTTGATTGCAAATTAGCTGTTGTCATAAATTTTAAAAAATCATCCGTTTTATTGTTTATAATACAGTACTTTTATAAAGGTTTTTATGTTTTAATATTTAACATTGGAGAATTTAAACGTTGTTAAGTGCACAGGGTGTGCTGCGATTGGGGTTTAATACATTTGGACTTATTCAAAAGTAAAAAAGTTTTCTGTGCTGCACTCTGTAGAAACACTGTGGCACTATTTCAAATCATGGCTAATGCTAATACAGAATGTTGTAATTATTCAAACCTACAAAACAGTTGGTAAAAGTAAACATCTGCTTTTAAATTATATTTATTTGTAAACATTGTAGATCAAAAAGTCTGACATTGGCCCACTTAAAACCCTCTGGGGCAGAGCCCTTTTGATAGATCTGCACCAAACTTCACTCGAACCATCCTTGAAAGATGCTTAATAATGCCTGAAAGTTTCATTACAATCTGTCGAGCGGTTTCGGAGTCCATAACGTATATACATACACACACACACACATGCATAGTTCCTCTTTTATAGACATAGAAGATATATATATAATAATAATAATAATAATAATAATAATAAAATAAACTCTTGAAACTTTTGGAATTATGATAACTATGATAAAATATGAAATAGACTTTTAGGTGATGTTTTTATATCATTACTTCAACTCAAACAAATATAATTGTATTCTTAGTTTCCTGATTTGTTTGAATTATTTTAGATTTAAGTCGACAATTCTAAAAAAATAATGTACACTTACCAATAAAATAGCTTTCGCTAAGAGCATGGTGCAGAGTGGAATATTCACCAGTTGGAGCTAAAGCTGTTTTATAATTAGGTAATTAAAGTTTTTACGGTTAACTTGATTGATGTAGGCATTAGGGTATCATATAGGTCACACGTGTAAAAACTTAAACTGAAAATTATACATTATGCCGCTTAAACTGAGTGTAACTGACAAATAAGATGGTATAAGGAGGAGGAGAAAGTTAAAAACAGTTCTTTGAGATTTTTCTAAACTCAATTTTTTTTTATTTCATCAATATATTTTGTTTCTTTGGCTATTGGTTAAAAAAAATACTCGAGAGTACGAAGGCTTAGCTTGAGATATTTTAACACGTTCACTACTGCAATAGTACAAAATCTTACATTTATATGGCCTAGTTATGCACATATGCGAATGCCGGTTTCTACCTATAGGCCCGTCACATTCGACAGCATTCACATTAAAATAGACTGTCGTCACATATTTAAGTCGGTGTCCCAGTGTCATTAAAAGCTTATATCTTCGTAACGGTCTACTCGAAGTCCCTGAACTCTCTTCAGTTTCTGTCATCTGTTCTTCTGTACAGGGATGTCTGTAGCATATGTGCGTACCTTTACAAAATGTTGCTTTACATACTCATTTTAATTTGGATTCACATTATAGAAGACGAAGACGAAGGCTAACCAATCACAACTCTACACGAGAGACATCAGCGACGACTGGATTAGGAACAACACATGAGCCGATCACTTTATCATCTTGTTTGGAACAATCAGACTTAGTAGAATCAAAGGTTCCGATTACCTGGCTGATATAGAAGAACATAAAACCCCTAAGTAAGGCATTATCTCTTCTATTCTATGAGGTAGTGGTCATCCCTTCCTAGATAACTTTTATTAATTATAAAATCTGCCTCTGCAAAATGAGCCCGGAAATTGTTGCACATTAGATCGAGTTGATCATTGAAGTGTTCTAAGGCTCTACGGTTGATATATCTTTGACAGATGACACTGTTGACAACGATCTTGGATTAAGGAAACAGCCGCCTAGCCGTAGACAGCAGGCTAGCCATGCTTTGCAATGCCGTACGTTTTCCCCAACCCCTATTATACCCATGCACAAGATCATTTGTACCCACAAGGAAATAAACAACATTTGGCTTAGCATTTGCATACAATTCAAGTCTGCTCTGATTTGTTTTAATGGCTGCCCCAGGATTGACATCTGATACTGCCCCGTTCTATTCACACTTTCTCCCAGAGTGTCTAACCATTGAATCCCCAATTAACAACACTTTTATGCTTTACGTGTGCTGTGTTGTTCCTGATTTGTTCCTACACATTCTTTACAAATACCTACACTTCAATTCGGTTGTGAACTTTTTACTAACTTCAAATGATAAGTTCAAATAAGTTAAATTACAAAACGTTTACCGTCTTGATAATGGATTGAAATTGTGTTACAGGAGTTGTTACGAAAAAGAGTGGATTCAATTGGCTATATATATATATATATATATATATATATTTGAGCTTCTCCTATTTGTGTTTTTATGTTTTTTAAACTTATAAAATTTCTTCAATCCTACGTCAAAGTACTATGAAACAATTCATGATAATAGAGGTCCTTATATCACAAATGTTTGGGCTGTATGATAGTAAACTCGGTATAATAGTTATGTTGGCGATTGTATCATGACAGGAAGGCATAACTCATATGATATTGTAACTACAAGCAAGCAATAACTCGCTATCATGACCGGTATTGCATGCAATAAAGCCCTTCCTGTTAGGTATAAGTCAAATGGTTCTATATTTCAATAGTGTATTAGTATTACCTTAAGTAAAGCTATAGCTAGTGTATACATACTATTAAAATATTGCTGGATAGATATTTAAATTATTGAGATACCTATGTTTATATTTGCAGAAAGTTTATATTTATCAAAAGTAACGCGAGTTACAAATTAATGAGCTCTTTTGACGAAGGGTAGTAAAGCCTTTTTTTATTAAATCACTGTTTAGAAGCTAAACATGAATTTTAACAGATTTTTTATGACACACAAGTCAGCCATCCGAACAATCCCTAAATATCGGTGTAAAGATATCTAAAATTGACTGACGGACGCCGGCACAGCGACTGACAGACCTGCGTTGAAACTGGTTTAGAACAATTTAGCCTTAAATAATCCTTCGAGTTATATTATATTAATAAATGCAAGTTAATTGATGTTTTTGCATGTGTTAAAACCTTTTTGTGACATTTTGAGAGCCTTAAAGGGTTTTAAGTATTTGCCACACGCCGATAATGAAAAAAATCAAACTATCGCCACTGAAAAACAAGTAACACTGCACAAGATATCTTCTCCAAAGTACTTGAAAACCCTCTTATATTTAAAATCTTCAATTTTAATGTAAAATATTACGTCAAAACTAATTCATATAAAGGAGAAACAAAACACAGTTACTTTTATCGTTTTATGTTTTTATAGTTACTTCCCTGAATTCCTAAAGGGCCATATTTTACAACGCAAAAGTTTTCCCATATTTCAGCATTTGAAATGCAAATGGTTCTTTGAATAAAGAGTAGCTTACTTGTAAAAAGATTAACGTTAAAAAATATACTACTCTAGAAAGGCTACTCTCTTGTTATTTCCTTTACTAAATACCTTAGGTGTCAGGTAAGTTGTTGAGTCTTTAATGTAATGTGTTTCGTATGAGTAATGAGTTTTAAATTTACTACATGTCAGTTAACTTAGTTATAAAATAAAATAATGTATTCTATGTTATCTTTGATTACCAATACAACTTTACATTCTATCCCCATGTTAAATAAGTAACCAGCTTTTTTATAGAAATTGTCGTAGCTTATGTATCCAGTATCCAATCGAAAATGATATTATCTAATAACAACATTGGTTAAATAAATAATGTCCATAATTGAAAATGAACACTGATGATGCAATAGTTATGTTATTCACATAGAGATTTGCTTGTTATTCACATGGAGATGTACTTCAGAATTACAAACAAGCAAACACTTTTCCAAAGCAGATTTGTACAATATTAAAAATAACGTTTTTGTCATACGACAGCGAAAACCGCAATTTTTAATGCATGCGTTGTGGGTCTAAAGTAGCATTTTTACTTCCTCATTTTTAGTCTCCATAGAGTAAAAATCTGCTGTTGTAAACAGTTGTATATTTTGGGAGTGGCAATCGTATCCATTGAAATTATTTATCGATTGATTTATTATGTAAAGTATCTACTAGGTAAGGTAGTAAGTTAGGCTACTGTTGTCGATCGCTCAACATATCGATGGTATAATATAGCCTACTGTAATACAATCATAATAGACGAAATTATTGAATCACTTCAGCTGACAGCTGCTTATTTGCATTTGGTGGAATTTAAAACAAGATGGAAGTTGTTTTGAGAGGTCATCTATTCATAAAAAATACTTAGTTTTTTAGCTTAATTTGTGAATTAATGATGCAGTATGACGAAAAATATAGTTCACTCCACGGACAAAAAGAGTCACTTTAGGCCCTAGTGATGAAATATACTATAATAATAAACGGTTGTAATAAATTAATTACTTACCAAATTTTAAATGAAAGAGGTCGATACGACATAATGGGGTTAGCAATATCTAAATATATTTCAACAATTGACTTAAGCCAACGAACTGTTGTGTCATATTAATAGTAACTATTAATTAATAGTAACAACGTGTATACTTATCTTTCTTCCTCTTACTGTATTTGCACTAATGATTCTTAACATTCTATAGAAAAATTTAGGCAATTTCTGTAAAGATATACTTCTGACAATTAAATATTGTATTGGAAGAAAATGCTATTTAAATAATCGATCAAGTTTTGCTTTCAATCATAAAATGAGACTTTTACTAACACATTGCTGCCAGAATAACTTAAAATGTATTGTGATAAGTTAGTAGAAATATTAAATACTATGTTGTATACAATGTATACTGTAATTATATTCAATAGATATTTAAATAAATAAGATGGTTGTTAATAATTTGTGAAAATAAACCCTCAAAACTGAAAGGAATATTTGATAAATGTTTTTTTTACATTAGGTTATTATATGACTGGAATAGCACACAGTTTAATTCAAATGTCTGAACACTCTTGTAATAACGGTTATCTGAAAATACAAAGGAACCTTTTTAAGGACTTTGTGGTTGTGTACTAACTTACCCTGGCAAAAATATTGAGCTCAAATGTTTCATTTAGTTTATATGACTTGCATTTAGGTAAACTATATAAAATAAGGGGTGTTCCTTACCAAAACTGTCCATTCACAGTTTTAGACTCTGCGTTTGCTGATCATCCGATTAATAATAACCAGAATGTTTTAAATATTCACAAAACCATCGTTAGGACATTTTCCTAAAAAAAAAATGTTGTTTTCTGGATACTATTTTGAAGTGTATTTTCTGGAGTGTGAGATTTTCAAGGCCGAAAAACCCCTCAACGGACCTATACTCAGCGGAAAGACGTCGTTAAAATCAGATGTTGTACAAATAAGTCTAAATCCTAGAGAAATTATCAAAAGACGACATACCGGTAATGATCTGATACCTAATACGACATAAGTTCTGATACAAAAAAAGGGTGGTACAAGGGCAAAGGAAGAACACGACGACGCGACGGTCAGCCTAGACAGACCCTCTGAACCTAGAACCCCGCCATGATTAATAGTTTTATGGTCATGCAGTATTTTTTTTACAAAAATGTGTGTCTATGTTCGTGTTTTGTTTATGATCTTTTTCATAATTTTTGCCGTAATAATTTTTTCACGTTAGGGATTAATCATGACACCTCGAGAGGATTGAAACCGGTCTCTATTCATACCACCAAGGATTACTTTTTTCCAAGTACAGAAGTTGAGAAACAGTATATTGCCAAGGATATTATAAGGGGAAGACTTCAAATTAGGAGTAGTTATCGATTATAACAGCAATAACTCTTGTTGGTGCTGCTTCCACC